ATATTTGAACATTTGATTAATGTCAGAGATATGAACATATGTTACTAGCCCAAATATTGATGGAGTGTTCATTATTCATTTTTTTTTTTTTAAAATTTTTTGAAGGATAGTATTCATTAAGAATGGCGGCTATGGTGCAAATTTATTTTGATTTTTGGGGGTTAAAGTTCAAAATTTTAAGGCAAAAACAATTAAAAATGGGGCGCCACATCCTTCCCGCTTAACTTTCAAGCAAATACGGAGTAAAAATTAAGAGCCCAAATCTACCTTACAGCCATGTCATCAATCCAAAGGAATGCTAATAAACAAATCAAACATCGCCACGTATTCAAAACTTCTGAACACGTACAGCATCTTCTTCTTAACTTCCTTTTAATTTCACCCGTTAGATCAATATTCACAACAAAACAAAATCAACGCATTTACAAAAGCCATGCCTTCCCTCATCCTCCAACAACATCAAACCTTTATTCCCTATAAATACATATCTCAAACCATTTCTTCATCTCACCGCAAATATCTCTCTTTCTCTCTCTAATTCACAAATCAAAACTTCATACCCCCAAAAAAACTCTCAAGTTTTCTCTCTCATCTCATCAATGGCGCCCAAAGCTGAGAAGAAGCCCGCCGAGAAGAAGCCCGCAGAGGAGAAGAAGGCCGCCGCCGCCGAGAAAGCTCCGGCAGAGAAGAAGCCAAAGGCCGGCAAGAAGCTTCCAAAGGAGGCCGGAGCAGCCGCCGGAGACAAGAAGAAGAAGCGTCACAAGAAGAGCGTCGAAACCTACAAGATCTACATCTTCAAGGTTCTCAAGCAGGTTCACCCTGACATCGGAATTTCCAGCAAGGCAATGAGCATCATGAACAGCTTCATCAATGATATCTTCGAGAAGCTTGCTCAGGAATCTGCTAGACTCGCTCGTTACAACAAGAAGCCGACGATTACTTCTCGGGAGATTCAGACTGCTGTTAGACTTGTTCTTCCTGGTGAATTGGCTAAGCATGCTGTTTCTGAGGGTACTAAGGCTGTTACCAAGTTTACTAGCTCTTAAATTTGGTTTTAATGTTGTTTTTGTTGATTGTGGGTTGGTTCGGTAGGACTTAGGGTTTGGTTGTTGAAATTTGGGTAAATGTGGAACTGAATTATGGTGGTATTATGTCTTTTGAATAGACTTGGTTATGATGTATCTACTCTTACAAATTAATGGAAATCCTTTTGTGAAATCTCTGTGTTCTTTGATTTTTTTTTTTTGTTGGTCTTTCAATTTCAAGAATAACTCTGTACTTTTTATTCGAATTGTCGAAATCAGTTCGAGATTATTTTTAATTCAATTTCTGTTAAATTGGTGAATATTTCTGATGATAAATTATTTGTGAATCCAAGTTTAAGTGTTATATACTATGAGTTGGTAACCATGTTATATGTTTTGAGTTAATTGAAATTCAAATTAATTTCTGCAGTTTTTAGAATGTATATGGAACTGCTTAAATGCGCTAATATTTAAAAACTGTTTGAAATTCTGATTGTTTTTGAAGTTTATGTCAATATTATTTGTGTGTTATCCCCTTTATTTTAAGCTTAGTGTAATGTTTTGATGGTTGGGAAATCTTCTCTTGAATGAGATTGTTGTCTGTATATGGTGAATGCTTAGGACCTAGTTATTCAGCTTATTGCTTTATCTGTGCTTCGCTGGACTCTGAAAGTTCGTGATGATGCTCTGTGGCTGATTCTAGCTATTTAGCTAATCTTATTGTTCGGTTTCTCTTGCTATTTGTTACTGTGTACAAGGTGTGTTATGTGAATGCATTCACTGCTAGTAAAACTAAGGCGGACTGTTATATGTGTGCCTCGAATGCTCCATGTTGATATATGCTTTAGTATTATGGTGTTTGGGGCTTTAAGCAAAGAAGCATGGAAAGGCTGACTTAAAATGATCATATCTCAAGATCTAGTAGTGATATTGAGATGATTCAAGTTGGAGGTGATAGCTCTTCTCAAGATCTTTCCAACGACTGGTCATAAGCTTGATTTGGTTAAGAATCGAGGGAGTTATGACTGTTTAAAGAAGTGCTGTCCGCAGAGGGGGAGTTCGACCGAACCATTTAATAGGTTCGGTCAAACCTTTAGGCAGAACTGATGCTCTTTTCATTTCTAGAGTAGGTTCGGTCGAACCTTCGAGCCCCTGTTCCAGCGCTGCGATTTCTTCTTATTTTGCTCGGGATGTAATCTTAACCGTTGATTCATCTTGCACTATATATACTCTTGTTTTTCATTGTAGAGAGTATGAGAGAGAAACACAAGTGAGACTTAGATCTTAAATTAGTTCACCAAGAACACCATCTTTCTCCATTGTAATTCTTCCTTCATTGAAGAGTAATACAAGCTCCAATCTCCCCAAAAGTGGATGTAGCTCATTTTGAGTGAACCACTATAAATCTTGTGTGTTTTATTTTGTTCATTTTTAATTGCTTTCTCATTTAGCTTTGCATCGTTCCTCAATCAAATTCAAAGTCCCAAAAAAGGTCCTATTTCATAACACGGACTGTACTCAACAGTGAGGTTTAGTAGGCAATTAGAGTGGCTAGCTGGTTTTTGTCATTGTTTAGATTGAGGTTTAAACTTTGATTTCTTGGTATATTGACCTCGTGATCTTCATTGTATATTACGAAGTATTCCTTTCAATCTTTAATGGGATATGAGAAGCCAGTTTAAGTTCGTGACTGATGCACTCAAATGATAAATTTAGGATTCTGATATAGGCATTGATGTTGTCACGGGAAAAAGAAAGCTAGACTTCAACCCTTCCTCAACCTTAGCTTAATTGTTGGGTTATGATGAATTGGTATATCCAACTTTAACGGGTGAACACTGTGACAAGGGAATAAGCCAAAAACAAGCGTTGGGAATAAGGTGAGACCTTAGGGGATATATCATCGAGTATCATGCAGGAAGAAACAATGGATAGTAACAGTAGAACCATTATAGGTGTTCTGTAATTCTGACCAAACCACTTTTATATGAATAATGGGAATACAGGCAAGGGATGAAGAGTATTTACTTGAGGAAGAAAAAATAAATGAGAATTGTCCTTGGAGAAATGATGTCGGTTGGATTGGATGATTATTTTGGGATTGTAAAGGTTGCAAGTGAGAAAATGCTTGCTTGAGGTTAGTTTAAATTTCGTAGTTATGATGTAAGTGGGATAGTGGGAGTGCAGTAGTCATCTACTCAGTAGATGGATGCTGAGCTACTAGCCTACTATCAGTGTTTAGTAGGACGGTTGATGTGCATTTTACAAGTTCTTTATCTTGAAAACTTTGGGAATAGATGTATGATGGACATTTACAGTGTGAGCGGAAAGATCATTTTCCAGGACCAAGGAGTACATTTTCCTTCATAGGGGCTTTCTGGTAGGATTTTGTGATTATGCGCGTAAGTCTGAAAGTTCATGAATTAGTTTTGGCCTTTTGGGGTTCTGAAGTGCCTTCTCATTTCAAGAATTTACAAAGCTTTAACACCATTCATTTTTAACCTTGAAGCTATTATTGTGAAGGGTATGGGTGCTCCGGTGATGCTTGTTCAAACATGCACCGGTAATGTGCTTGTGTGAGGAATTCCACCAACTGGTTGCTTGATTCTGATACTATATTTTATAGGGCGTGTGAATTATAGACATCAGCTTTTAATGGTAGAGTTGCTGTTGTAATTGTTTAAGGGAGAATGAAGGCTGGAAACCTGGGAAAAAGCCAAAGTTCCACTTTGGTTATGTAGAAAACTAGAAAAGTTAGAGCTTACAACATTTTGGCGAGTCCTGAGTTTTGACAATGGTCTTGATGAATATAAATAGAACAAGAAGCTGATAATGTCAGAGCAGGAACATGGACCAGCTAACAATAACCGAAATAGGCTAGAGCAAGATAGTTACAAGGAGGGAAGTGAACTTTGCTTTTCTAACAAATTCAGTAATGGAAGAGCTGCTAGGATTTATTATGGGTAGAGTTGTTGATGCTTATTTGAGTGATGGGATGAATTCAAAGAACTTGAAGAAAGAAACTTCAAGTACTAAGTTATTTTTCTTTTTCTTATTCTGCATAATAGTTTATAATGGCAGAGGTTTGCTTCTGATATGGTTTCATTTGTTGGTCTGAAGACAAAGGAGTTTGGAAAACCTTTTTTCGGTGGAAGTTTTGAATGTAGTAAGGAGTACGACATGATATACTGGGATATGGTGTATATAAACACCATTCACCACTCCATCCATGTCTGTGAAGTGTTGCAAAACATGATGCATTGATGCACATTTGCTGCTTGTTGAATTTCATGAGAATGTTGTGCTGTCTCAAAAGTATTGCCAATTTGGCAATTCTATAGTAGGCCTTAAATTTCATGGGTGTTAAGCAGTTGTAATTGGTGGTAGGTAATCATGGATGTAAATTAATGATATTAATTGGAGTCGTAGATTTGAATGGTTAAGTGTATTCATGTTTTAGTCTGATTAAGGAGTCATGATACAAAAAAACTCTGGCAGCGAGGGGGATGATAAACTATATCCGATTTGGCTTGTTGGCTAAACAACAAAGGTGAATGATGTTTAGAAGTATGCGTCATGGAGAAAGATGTTGTGTATTGGTGTTTGGATAACCTTTCTTATGTTTGGACCCGAAAAAATGTATGTTTATTTATTTATTTTCTAATTTTCTCTTATTGTTCGGCCACGTCACCAAGGTTGAGCGTGCTCTTGGGGTACTGATATCAATTCGGATTTATCTTCTAGGGTTATTGATGATTTATTGAAACATACACCAAAAGGTAACAAATACATACTTTTAATAAGACTATGACTCTCAAAGCTCATTAAATCAATTAAAAAGAGCGTTTTCTATCTAATTTAATCTCCTTTTTTTTTATAATATTTTGATGAGTAATTCAATTTACTCTGTACATAAATTAAAATTCATTTATAATGCTCACAAAAATTTATTTATAATGGTCACAAAACCCCTTTAAGCTTTAATCTAATTTTAATCTAATTTTCACACACATCCCACAAAACAAAACTAAGACACAGAAAAAGAGAGAAGTGACTCAAGAATAAACCATCCCATTACATTTCTGAAGCAGACTCAAGGATAAGAGATCAAGGGATCTGAGTTAAGGTCGGTGACACAGTAACAATGGCGGATTACCATTTCGTTTACAAGGACGTTGAAGGAACTTCGACACAGTGGGACGACATCCAACGGAAGCTCGGAAACCTCCCTGAAAAACCGCCGGCGTTCAAACCGCCCCCATTTGTTCCGGCCGAAGACGAGGATTCCAAACCCAAAGACAAATCATGGATCGATTCAAAAACCCATGATGAGCTTGAAGATCTCGAGGATGATCTTGATGATGACCGATTCCTCGAAGAATACAGGTATCATACTTTACTTTCAATTTCGATTTCATTTTTAGGGTTTTGCTTTGATTTATTTCTGTTGATTGTTAATATGATGGTGGGAAATTTCAATTGCAGGAAGAAAAGGTTATCTGAGATCAGGGAAGCTGCTAAAGTTGCGAAATTCGGATCGATTATTCGAATTTCTGGGTCGGATTTTATCCGTGAGGTGTCTCAAGCTTCCCCGGAAATTTGGGTTGTTGTTATTCTCTACAAAGAAGGGTGAGTTTTCAAAAAAAGGAATTGCTTTTCTGCTGTGTAATTTTGCTTCATGATTCAATTGTGCAATTTGAAGTGATGTTCATATAATATATCCTTTGATAGCATTTTGAATGATTAATTAATTGATTGAATGATACCTCAGGACCTATATGTATATCCTGTATATCATTAAGTCACTGTTTTGCTTGACTAATGAAGTCATGATTGATGTATCCAAATTGACGGTGCCATTTGCAAAGAAAAGCTCGTTTTTGGTGCTGTTCTGGACATAATTTACTAACAATGCTGGATCGTGGGCTAATGCATAGTTTTATCAGACATCAGTAGCATGTCGTGTTATATTTGTTTAATAGCTGGTTGCTATGACTTTGGTTTTGTGTCATATACTTAAGTTTCAAATTTCAATACACTGGCAGCTTTGCAGCATGTGAGATGTTAATGGGATGTTTGGAAGAGCTAGCTAGGAGATATCCAGCAACGAAGTTTGTCAAGATAATATCTACGGATTGTATTCCTAACTATCCTGATTGTAATTTACCCACACTGTTGGTATACAATAATGGTGCTGTCAAAGCAAACTATGTGGGATTGAGCAATTTTGGAAGGCGATGCACACCTGAAGGTATAATCTTCTTTCTGAATTCTTTTTGTTGATGTTTTTGCTATAATGGCACTATGTTGTTAGTTTTTGAAAGGTGGCAGTAGAAATAGTGATTGCTTGGTTATTTTCTAACAACTTATGAGTAAAAACAATTAAATGGCAAGTGGTATATGTTACTATGTTAGTGAAAGGCAGATTTCTGTTTTTATTGTTTATGACTGATTTCTATTTTTGTACTTTAGGTGTCGCACTTGTTCTCTGTCATTCGGATCCTGTGCTTAACGATGGTCAGACTAGCTGTGATTCAACCAGGAGATCTGTTCTCGATGGGGAGAGTAAGAGGCTCATTGAAAAGTTTGTTGCAGAGCGCGAAAATGCAGAGGATGATGGTGCTTCAAGTGATTAACTGGTCTAGGGTCTGAATTAGCGGGAGTTTTTGGAATTGGACTCTTCTTTTCAAGTTTTTTTTCCCTTTAATTTTTTGGACTGAGGGTATTTTGATTATGGGAATGAATTACTTTATTTGAGTTACAGCACTCTAAGCAGATTCCCAATATTGAATATTGTGTGAAAAAAGCTTTATGTGTTAGATTATAGTGCAGCTTAACATCAGTTTACTTACGTATTGTAATCCAGCCCACTTATGTAGATTGTTTCGTGCTGTATGTTTCTTAAAAAAAATGCACTGTTCTCCTTATCTCTTATAGTACTTTTATAAACTTTTTGGTGTTTGTTTATCTTGTTGAATTATGTTTCTCCTTTCTCCTCTTCTATATGTTTTATCCGAGGTGTTACATAAATTATATCTTGGGCTAAGTTTGATCACAATATACCCTTTATGCCCTCCCCTTGTTAATCTTTGATTTCCTTTTCTTCAATTTGCTTCTATACATGTCTCCTAGTCTTATCTGTTACCGTGATTTGTGAGTTTGAGCCGCATTTGATGAAGTTAAAGTTCTATTGGAAGAAGCTGCTGCTCCTTAGGTTACATGCTGTAAAGTGTAAATAGGTCAATTGTTATGGACATGTCACTGCAGGGTTAATCATCTAAAGTTTTATTACAAAATGTATACAGAGATTGGAGGACTTGGCAGGGGTACACTTTAAAGGTAAGAGCTTCCATCTCCTGAAGATTAAAATTAATGATATTTTGTATCCTATATCTCCTAATCAGGTTAGTCACTTTGAAATCAGACGTATCAACATAGGTTCATTGGTTAATATATGCGAGTCATAACTTGGTTTAGCTGTCTGAATTATTGAAATTGTGTAACTTATGTTCCTGTTGTTGACTTGTTGTTGTTGTTGATATTTTCAATATAAGATGATATTGCCATTTCTATAATACTCTTTAAAAGGTTCAAATTGCAATCTTCTTGAAATCTTCCCCCTTCCCTGGGTTCTAAGATTTTGGGTTAATGGACTATTCATTAATTTTCAGTCTGACTGACTTCTCAATTTGGCTCGAGTACTGAAATGGATAACGACTGATGAAACCCCTGGAATGTTGAAGTCAAGAAGGGGCATTAATGTCATTTGGATTTTAAACGTGCTGGAAATAAGGCTTGTTATATGAATGTCAATTCTGCTGGTGTGGAATTAGAGTTAAGTTGTGGAACATCCATTAATTATGAAGACTGATAGATGGTATCAAGAGATGACATGGAATCTTGTGTTGAGTTGGAGAACGGATTCAATGAAATGTACCCTTTAAGTCTCTGATGTGGTGAATTAACAGTCCATTACATTGAAAATCTTAGTTATTTTAGAGTTTGATTGGTCCTTTAAGATGATGACATCGTATGCTCGTAGTATACTTGCCTATTGTATGAGTATGTTCTCATGCATTGATTCACGTTAAGGTAAGATACTTTGTTTACTCCTCAGCTGTTATTCATTTATAGCTTTGAGATGGGGTTGGCTTTTGCTCATGTAAATGGCTGACTGGTATTGATGTTGATGTCTGCAGGCAGCAGCTGAAAACCAGAAATGAAAGACATTTTGGTCTACTGCCTGCCTTTGCAGTGTTTAATCATTGTCACCAGGTATGTTGTTGCGTTTTGGATTCTCAATGTTTTGTTGTAACTGCTAGCTTGCCTGCTACACTCTTAAGATTTTTGCTTAACTTTTCTGGAATGACTTTTGCCGTAAATGGCAGACTATTAAAGATACTGCTACTTATTTGCCAAACATTTATAGTAGCTGTCCTCTATTTTTTTTAGTGTATTGATGACTGTTTCTGAAGCAGATTTATGATCAAAAAAATATAAAATAAATAAGCTGAATGATGTATTATAGATTTTTTTTCATACCCTTTTAAGCATATTGGATCCAATAATAGTACTTTTCATATCTCCAAATTGCAATATTAGTTGTTGGCAAGTTGCCAAGTCAACAGATGATTTTCTCCACTTTCTCCCTCTAACCTCACATGTTTCATAAAAAAATAAGTCAATGTTTTGTGAGGCTTGAGGTGAGGTTATCCATTACCATATATCAGTAACTACACAAAATTAGTCAATGTAAGAGGAGTTCTTAGGACCCCTGGGGTGTTCTTTCTCCACCCCCCAGTGCTGATGCAAAAGCCTCATATTCTCATCCTCCCTTTTAAACATACTGATTAGCAGAATTCCTGATTTCTCGATGTCATTTTCATTGTTCATATGCTTGTTTTTATCATCAATTAGCAATTTATGGTCGATCACTCTGCCGTCTTGGACTATGGTCAGGATTGTTGGTTCTGCTGGCAGCTGTGGCTATATTCTCCCCTGAGTTTGCCTTTTTATGGGCGTCCCATAGATGTGGGGTTCATGGCTATATGAGCGTCCCACTGGATTTGCCTGGAACAATTTTGTGCTTGCCTACTCATGTGGTCAGAGGGCCTTCTTATCATGTCTATATCCCTGTCATATTGGCTCCCGTCATTGTGGCTTGTTCTGGTTTGGTGCTTTCATCATGTGGCTTGTCCTACATGTAACTACAGGCCTTGTTTGGATTTGTCATGTTATATATGTGGGTGACAACAATGATCAAAAGGATGTTTTTGTGTGTGTGAGTTTTTTTTTTTTTTTTTTTTTTGGGGGGGGGGGGGGAGATTTCAAACATCGTTTTACATATTAATTTCGGGCACATCCCTGAACAGTGTTTTCAATGTGTTGATGTATTCTGACTAAGAGATGGATAAATACTTATTTTAAATTGTTCATTTGTTTCACCAAAATAATCTTATCTTAATGCAATAAAATGTACTAAGGGAGTGGAGGGGGAAGAGGGGGGGGGGGGTGAGCAAGTAATACGAATTACCTTGTCTAGCTTAAATGAGGCTGGCTATGTGTTATAGGCTCCATTCCTGGCTTTATCTTGTGGATTGTCTAATCACTGATTGCTGAAGGATCCCCTTTGACAAGAAAGTGTAGCTTTATGACCATGGCACATACTTCGGAACAAGGTTTATGTTTGCAGCAATTGATGAGAGAAAATGGTGAAACTTAATGTGTTAGTGTGAGTAGGTCTGTTGTTGGAGTTTTAAGTTGTGCTTTGATGATTTGATGCATGAATTGATTGATCATGGACTATAGGGATTGGTTATTGAAGATTTGAAGGCGAGACAATGTGGAAAAAGGTGAGGGACTCTCGTTGCTCTTTTGTGATCATGCAGACTAATGAAGTGCAGCACGGAAATAAACTTGCCGTATGAAGCTGCCTCCAAAAGGTTTTTAGATTATGTTAGATACACCATCAAATATATGTATCCCCTCTATTAAATCATGACTCATTTATCAGCCGTCATATCTTAAGCAAATTCTGCGAGATTTGACTAAAAATACTCATGGTCTTTGATTATCTTTTGGCAGGTGTAACAATAGTTTTTGAACCCAAATATTGTATGAGGCGTAGAACATTTGTATTGCTGCGATGCAATGGTAAAATGATTTGAAGCTCTTTGAGAATGGAACGTCGGATGCAATGGTACCAATGGGGTATATTGAGGCCTCAAAAGCTGGGTCAATTCAGTCCTGGATACCGGGCAAGAAGTTCTGCATACATTTCTTGATTCTTCTTATTCCCAGGTAAGACTTAATGCATTGTTTGGATAGCAAAGAAGGAAGGAAAAGAAGGGGAGGGAAAATGGAGGAAGGGAAGGGAGAAGAAAGGGAGGGGGAGGTGAGCTTCATTTTCCCTCCAAATCTCTCCAATTTTGGAGAGATTATGGTTATTATAGAGAGAGGGAAAATGGATCCCTCCCTCTCCTTCCCCTTCCTTCCCCCAATCTTTTATCCAAACAAGAGATTTTGCCCCCCTCCATTTCTCTTCTCTTCTTTTCCATCCATTTCTTCCTATCCAAACAAAGTGTAATTCTTTTTATGATAAACTGAATGTTGTACTGGAGTAGATGATTGGATCATACTCTTATTCTGACATACTAGTTGGGTAACCACCCGACAGTTGAATATTTCAATCTCTATCTTAATCTCTTGTACAATCTCTATTTAATATAATTAATTCCCTATAATGCTTGAGGTGAGGTATCCATTTCTAAAAAGAAATAGTCAATGTTAGAAATGTAATGGTGTGCCCTCCTCTTCTCTATTGATTAATAATTTTATAACTTTCTTGTTCTTCCCCTTAACAAACTGATAAGTAGAATCTTTGAATTCATCTTACATTTGTTATCATCAATCAAGATGTCCCTCTCATTAGCCTTGAGCTCATTTTATCATCGATTAGCTACTGACAGTCGAACGCTCTACCGTGCAGGGATGTGGACGAGTGTGTTGGTCATGGTGGCAGCGGTGGCTGCGTTCTTCCCTGAGCTTGCCTTCTTATGGCAATCCCGTGGATGCGAGGTTCATGGCTACGTGAAGATTCCTCTGGATTTGCCTGGAAAGAGTATGTGCTTGCCTTCCCATATGGTCAAGGGGTCTTCCTTGGATGCTTTCATCCCAATCATATTTGCTCCCATTGTTGTGGTTTGTTCTGGTTTTGTTCTAAAATCCTTCGGCTTGTCTTACAACCAACAATCAGATAGGATCATTTAGAGATAGAGATTTATATACTACACGATGTATTATACTTGTAAGGCCTTAACCGTCTGGTTTTAGATGTGTGATTATACAATGTATTTTTTTTTTCTTTCTATTTGACAACTTGGATTCAGGTAATATTTGAGTTGACTTTGCTTAATTACTCAAAACGGTTTCCTATAATTGCTTAATTACTCAAACGGTTTCCTCTACGTCCATCATTTAAAAAAAAAGAAATTCCAAACGAGTTATTCCAAGGAGTCACACATCCTATTACTACTCTCGCTCAAGCAAGCTTAACCGCAAAGTTCTGATAGGATCCGATGTATTAGTGCTAATACAAAAATAATAAAATGGCGTCGCCCGGACTCGAACCGGAGACCTTCAGTGTGTTAGACTGACGTGATAACCAACTACACCACGACACCATTTTTGCACAATTTTTCACAAATTTCAACTTGGTTAACGATTTTATCTTTATCAAATCAAAAAAATATCTACTGTATATTCCTATTCCGACTTTCCGAGTCATACAAACACAGTGTTATTTTTACCTTTTCTTTTTTTCTCCATCATCCTCCTAATCTCTCTCATCCTCCTTTTGAGCCAACCCTAGATCTCTGTATTTTCCCCAATTTTTTCCCCCTTCAATTTTCTCTCTCTTCTTCTTCTTCTTCTTCTTCTTCAAATCTTCACATCTTTCAATGGCTATGGAAAATCGGTTAAACATGTCTCTCGACGATCTCATCAAGATCAACAAATCTTCTTCCGGCCGTGGCGGCGGCGGCGGCGGCGGTAGAGGCAGAGGTGGAGGCGGTGGTAGAGGTTATTCCGGCCCCGGACCTTCTCGAAGATTTAATAATCGCGTTGCCAATCGTTCTACCCCTTATTCTATGCCTATGTCCAAGGTTTTCATCTTTTCTCTCTCCTAGGGTTTTCTTGTTATTTGCCGTTTAAATCTTCACAATTTTTTTTGTTTGTTTATTTTTTTGAATTTTTGATTGAGTAATTTGTGATTTGGTTTTATTTATCTCAGGCACCTGATTCTTTTTGGCAGCATGATATGTTTGGTAATCAAGGTGGTATTGGTGTTGTTGGTGGTGGTGGTGGAGCGTCTTCAATTGAGACTGGAACTAAGCTTTATATCTCTAATTTGGATTACGGTGTTTCTAATGACGACATCAAGGTATTAAATTTTCGCTTTTTTAAAAAAATTATTTTTATTCTAAACTTAGGGTTTTCAATTTCCTCCCTATATTGTTTCTATTGGAATTTTAGGCCGTTTCGATGTTCGTTAAGTGTTAAATTTATGGTTAGCTTGGAAATTTGTTTGTTTATCATATATTAGAGCTATTTAAGCCTGTCAAATAGTGGGTTTTAATAAACTAATTAAAAAAAATCATATATATTTAAGTGTGTTTTTTTAATATATTTTGAACTGGTACGTACTTTACCGGCACTTTGTTATTCCTATATATCTGGAGAATTCATTTACAATATTTGGTTAGGATACAAGTTTTGCACTGTGTTTGGATTAGAGGAAATGGAGGGAAAGAGGGAGGGGGGGGGGGTGGATGAGAAAAGTGGAGGATTAATCTCCTTTGTTTGGATAAAGGATTGGGGGAAGGAAGGGGAGGGGGAGGGGGAGGAGAGCGAAATATGAAAATGGAGCTCACCGTTCTCCCCCTTCCTTCCTCCTTTCCTCTCTTCTTCTTTGCTATCTAAATTCTAAAACAAAACATGGTTGCCACTGGGTTTTTCCTAGTTGTTTGTATTCCATCATACGTAGATGTTTTGATCATAGATTGAAGAAATGGATGGTGTCAAACCTAATGTTTTCTGGAATAATTGATAACAGGAGCTCTTTTCTGAGGTTGGTGACCTGAAACGTTACGCTGTTCATTACGATAGGAGTGGGAGATCGAAGGTATTGAGGCTTTCTGTTTCTCCTCTTTTCCAGGAGTCTTGTGCGGTTTTGTACTGTGGATGTTTAGACTGGGTTTTTATTTATCAGGGAACTGCTGAAGTTGTATTTTCACGAAGAGGAGATGGTCTGGCTGCTGTCAAGAGGTATAATAACGTAGAACTTGATGGTAAACCAATGAAAATCGAGATCGTGGGGACAAATGTTGCGGCTATGGGAGCTTTACCTCCAGTTTTTAATGGCCTTGTTAGGAATCCACCTGGTCCTAGAAGGTATTTTTTTCTTATACTTTGATACTTTGTTCCTATTTTTGGTATCTGAACAGTTGAAGATATTTTTCCTTTTTCTTGTCAGATCATGCACTTAATTTGATATGTGGTGTAGCAATGCATTGTGTTATTTTTGTTGGTCTATATACTTCGTACTTTGTAACTCTTTGCTCTTCCTTGCTTCCAGTCTGAATAATAAGTGTACCATAATGACTTCTTGGAATGTACTCTACCTAGGTTGCTGGGACTTTTACAAATTGTATCTTGTTGCTGACCCTTTTTCTTTTGAACAGGGTTGTGGGGGGTGGGGGGGGGGGGGTGGGGGGGGGATAATGTCCAATAATTGAGCTATTTATCTTGTTTAATCCTGAAATACTTATGTCATCTGCAACTATTATAATCGTGTATAATAATTAAGCTGACAATGAATCTGTATCTACAATTTCATGGTTTCAGTGAATTGCGTGGTGTCCCTAGGACTAAAATATCAAGTTGGTTAATTGACTGACTGGATGCTCTGTAAATGCTGTTATTTCCATTCTAATATTTGTTTTAAATTGAGACTTGAGGCTTATTACTCTTGATATTGTGGAAGAAGATTGAAGTGGAATAATTAAGTCTAGTAGACTAGTAGAGACTGTCATGGTCATTGAATACCAAGCTGTTTGCAACTATGCATATACATGTATAGTAAGTGTTGGTGATATTTTTTAAATTTTTATTTGTGAGAAAAGTTAACTATGGTATAACTGGATAATTTGCATAGCGCTATTCATAATAAATGTAGTGTCCTGTGGGTTTTTCTTGTCCAAATGTTATTATAGATAGAAACCTCAGTCAAATCTTTTTTTTTATTTTTTTTATTTATTTTTAAAATACGTTCATTTTAAAATTGGCAATGAACTAATGAGTTGGCTTGTAATGAATAAGAGTCTTGGTATTGATATCACCTTTCCACTAAACGTTAAACGAAAAAAATCTAGGTATTGATAATTCGTTCATGTTTTTAATGAGTGGGCTATATGATGTCATTTTAAATTCCATATAATCATATTCATATATCAGCTTTACAATGCTTATTATCAATATTAATAAGAGATGGACAGCAGCAATTAAAAACTTGATTTGGAAGTTTATTTGCAATAGTGTGATTATAATTTTGGTTAACAATAAAATGAAAATGGAGGTAGTAGAAAATCATGGGAATTAGAACTTGCATCATGGCAAACAAATTTCCAGGTCCCCTGTTGGTTATGGGAACTTCAAGTTCCTTTGATTTAGAACAAACAAGATAAAATTCCTAGGAATGTAAACCAAACAAGCCCTAGTTTTGCTAGCAAAATGAATTAATTACCATGAATTGCCCTGAAAAGTTACTCCCTCCGTCACTTTTAATTTTTATGCTTTAACCATTTTTCTCTCACTATATAATTCCAATTGTAAAGATTTAAAATTGACAGAGGGAGTAGATATCATCTCATCAACATACTACATGATATTGCTACTCTATTATTGCCTGAATATATTGTGAGCTGTTTCTTATTCTAATAGGATTTTACTGGTATCTGATAGACTAATATGTCAGTTACCTGTTCTTGGATAACGTTGTCATAATTCAATTTTTTTTTTAAAAATAATATTTTTTTCTTTCCATTTTTGAAATTCTCACAGTGGACAAGGAAGAGGTGGTGCAATGGGACGCATTCGTGGTGGCCGTGGTTCTGGTTCCGGTTCTGGCAGAGGACGTGGCAGGGGAAGAGGCCGTGATGAAAAGGCATCAGTATCTGTAGATGACCTGGATGCCGACTTGGACAAGTATCACTCAGAAGCAATGCAGACTAACTAAGCAAAATATGGGTTTTCTTTGTCTTCTCTTGGGTCTTAAACCTATACTCTTGCAACACTGTGTCCTTGATGGCTGTTTCAACTGTTTTGTTTAATTCTACCGACATCTTATTTTAGGCAAGCAGATAGAGGCCAGTAGTTGGATCTTGGTATCAAAAGCTTGGGCTTTGTACCAGACTTCATATGGTTGGGGGTTAAATACCAATTAATGAACAGCTATTAGTATGTCATTATTCAGATATAGATTATTTGCACTTTCACTGTTTCATATACCTTGCAACGAAGTGGGATCTTTTTGGCTGTTCGAATACAATGTGGATAGACAGACCCTCGAGATCATGGAAGTTTGATTTTTCTCATTCAGAGTGTCAGTATGCGGTTGATGAAGTTCTGGTTTTTTTATCTTGGCATTTGAGCTTGGATACGAGGTAGGGCCTCTGTTTGCTCATTTGGCTATTTTTAATTGTCTTTTGGTGCTTAAGCTAGTGATTATGCAATTGACTTTTTAACAAGTCTTCTATTGTTATGTTAGTTACCTTATTGTGGAAATCAATTTCTTATTTGCCTGACCTGTTGTCATGGCAGTAAAAAGGGTTCTTATTCAGATTAAATACCAGATCTTCCCTGGAGGATCTTGATAAATGCCAGGTTTTTTTAGATGTTTGAAATCTGCCATTGGGCTTTGAGTCTTCAGGAAAGTGAAGTTTGAAGAGTCGAATTATGAATCTTATATCAGCTGATTCTTGTTGCTTATGAATAGAGATGGAGCTGTGGGTAAGCTCCAAATCTAAGTTTGGTGATGTCAACCTGCTAAAACCAGTTGATAATCTGCCTAAATGACATGGTATCTGATTGACGTGGCCAGATGACTTGATTTGCTGTGCATGGATTGTGTGTAATAGATCTTGTTTGCATAGCTGCTTGATGATATTACTCTCAATTCTGGCTGTTGTGACGTGGTTGTTATTTGCAACAAGGTAATTTGGATTTCTCTCGATTTTTTATGTTTGAAATCCTCAAAGGGTGTGGTGTGGAGTCGTAGTCTCTTGCAGCTGAAGAAGCCAGAGATCTGTAGACGAGATTTGGTTCCTCTTATAGCAACTTAGCAAATGTTTCTTGGTAAACAAAGGACAGTGAAAGTCTACTGTGCTTTATAAGACTATTTTGGCCCCCCTTACAAAAATGGGTTTGGATAACTGGGTCTTTACGTTAAGTGTGTTACTAATGAGATCGACTTGATGGAAGTTCATCTCTAAGGTTGCTCTTTAATTGACAGATGAAGTGTACGCATTTGGTTGATTAACATATAGAACAATCATGTAGAGTTTAGTAACTGCTATTAACAAAAAAGAAATATGATTATGTTAATAATTAATAACTTGATTATGATGGGTACACTCTTAACCTTGAGATATATTTTGTGTTTCTGTTGATAGAAGTGTGTTTGGTTTTACATATTGGAAGTTGTGGGGTGTAAACCGTTCCAAGTACTGAGTATTAGAGTTTGCTCTTAATCAAGTGGTTTGGAATAGTATTTGCATGATTGCATCAGTATTATAGCTGCTTTCCTGTCTTTCCTTCACATTTGAGCAGTCGTTTTTTAAATATTTTTTTTTTTATTTTTATAATATGAAGCAATTTAGTGATTTAGAATAAGAGGAATTGCAGTTAGGATCACGCGTGTTTAGTTCTTCTATTAGTACCCTAACATTTGATACCCCCTTCAATTCCATTTTGTCAAGGGAGGAGGGAAATACTTGATTGACTTTAGCTTTTAGGTGTTTCAGATTTCTAGTTCTGGGGACTATATTATACATTTCTCCATGGTTACTTTCAAAAATGAAAATTGCTTTGAAGCCCTTCTATGGTGATTGGGCTTAAGTTAGGAGCTGGAGGTTTTACCACACACAATAATTCTTTCAAAACGCAGCAAACCGTGAAAATTTAAATGAATAACAATCATTAAAATGAGAAAAAATGTTCATTAGTACATCGTACACAGCGTACATAAGGTGTATATAGACCTGCTAAAGTTGACTCAACTCGAAGTACTGATTTAAACCCGATTTTTAACCGAACCATTTGAACCCGAAAAAATGGTGACCCAAACTTGACTTGAAACCAACCCTTGACCCGAGTATGTGAGACTTAAACCCAAACATAAACTGACCTAGAGATGACCTGACCCGAATGTAACCCTTAAATTATTGACCTGAACCAAACCCGACTTGAATCGAAATGACCCTAACCCGTTTTAACCTGTCAAAACCTGAATTTAATCCGACTTGTTACTAACCTGACCTGAATTCAGCCTGACATGTTCTTAATCCGACCCGAATTTAACCCAACTTGTTACAAACCTAACCTGAAATCAACCCGACTTGTTATAGACCTAACCCAAATTCAACCCAACTTGTTATTGACCCGACTCGAATTTTACCATATGTATTACTTTCCCGACCCAAAAATTCAACCCAATCTGTTACTTACTCGACTCGAAAATAACATCACTTGTTATTGACCCTACCTAAATTCATTCCAAATTGTTCTTGACACGATTTCAAATCACCTTAAACGCAATTTAGACCACATTATTATTGTTGATCAAAGCATTTTGTCTAGGGAGACAAAGTCAGTCCAGACCAGCAAAAGAAAGAAGCATCATCCTCAAATTTAAGAGTTAAATAAAGTATATATTTGTTGTATAGTCAAAGGAGATAATTATTTTCCAAAATTATAGAAGATAGTTCCCTAGTGGCAGATCTAGGAAAAAAAAATTAAACGGGATCAGAACACATTTGATAATTTTTAATGGGGTCATTTAATTAAAAATATAAGCAACTTTATAGGAAAAAAAATAATTATTATTTTTTCATATACAAGTGGTGTCAAGGAACCCCATCAAATAGCCTTGCATCTGCCACTGTAGTTCCCTAGTATATTGCCAATTTTGCCATGTATATTATAGTCAAAGGAAATAATTAGCTTGATAAAAATAATAATTATCTATTTATAGTTACTTGAACCCGGATATTACCTGACTTGGAAATAAACCGACCTGATTGTAACCTGCAAATTATTGACTTGAACATAACCCGAATTGAATCCGAGAATGACCCGAATTGGAAATGACCCAACCTGATTAAAATCCGCAAATTATTGACATGAACCGAACCCGACTTGAACCCGAGAATGACCCGACTTGAAAATGACCCGACCTAATTATAACCCGCAAATTATTGACTTGAATCGTACCCGACTCAAACCCGATAATGACCCGACCTGATTCTAACCCGTAAATTATTTACTTGAACCGAACCCGAGAATTACCATAACCCTATTTAACCCGTGAAAACCCGACCTATTATTCACCTGACCCAAATGTAACCCGACCTGTTATTAACCGACCCAAACCCAATAAGAAGTATGACCCGACGTGACCAAACTCAAACCCGACCCGCATAGGTTATGGAATTAATCAGAAATGACTTGACCTGAGTTGAACCGACCCACTCTTACCGTCTCAAACCTGACCCGTTTACCCGAATTGACAGTTTTATTCGAAACCTCCAAAGTTTCTAAAAAAACGTGGATATTAGCCTTCAATTTTGGAATTTTTTTACTTTTTTCATCCGAAAATAAAATTTTCAAAATGTTTACCATAATCCCTAATACCCTCCGGCAGTCCAACTGGCTGAGTGGAACCATCTAATTTGCAATTAAACGACTAATTTACCGGTTTACAACTTGCACCGATTTCATTAACTCAAGCCAACCACGAACATTTATGACAACATATAATGATCATATATGGTCCCAAACGGCATTATAGGACCCCGAGATGTATCCCCTAAAATCTCCATTCTTTTCGACACCAGGCCCCGAAACATTCGAAATTTCTCAAAAAGCATGAATAACCTTGAATTTTCAAATTATTTTGACTATTTTTCACTCGAATATAAAAATTGTCGAGACGCTTACCATGGTCCCTAATACGCTCCAGGAATCCAATTGACTGGGTGGAACCATCAAATTTGCCTTTAAATGACAAATTAACCGATTTTTACAACTTGCACCGATTTCATTAATTCAAGCCTACCACGAACATTTATGACAGCATATAATGACCATATATGGTTCTAAACGGAATTATATGACCCCGAGATGTATCATTGTATCCCCTAAAATTTCAAAACTTTTCGACACCAGGCCCCCGAAACCTCCAAAATTTCTCAAAAAGTAAGGATATTAAGCCTGCAATTTTGGAATTTTTTGCCTTGTTTTTTCTCGAAAAAAAAATTGCCGAAATATTTACCATGGTCCCTATTACCCTCTGATAGTAAAATTGGGTGGGTGAAACCATCCAATTTGCCTTTAAACGGCCAATTAAACGATTTACAACTTGCACCGTTTTCATTAATTCAAGCTTATCACGAACATTTATGACAATATATAATCATCATATATGGTTCCAAACGACATTATATGACCCCGAGATGTATTCCCTAAAATTTCAAGCGTTTTTGACACCGGGCCTTGAAACTTCAAAAATTTCTCAAAAAACGTGGATATTAGCCTTCAATTTTGGAATTTTTTTGACTTTTTTCGCCCGGAAATAAAAACTGCCGAAATATTTACCATGGTCCCTAATATCCTCCGGGAGTTTAATTGGGTAGGTGGAATCATCCAATATGCCTTTAAACAGCCAATTCATCGGTTTACAACTCACAACGATTTCATAAACTCTAGCCTACCACGAACATTTATGACAATATATAATGATCATATATGGTTCTAAATGTCATTATATGACGCCGAGATATATCCCCTAGAATTTCAAAACTTTTCGACACCAGGCCCCGAAACTTCCAAAATAGGTCAAAAAGTGTGGATATTAGCCTTCAATTTTGGAATTTTTTGCCTTTTTTGTCGCCAGAAAAAAAAAATTGCCGAAATATTTACCATGGTCCCTAATACCCTTTGATGAGAGTCCAATTGGGTGGGTGGAATCATCTAATTTGCCTTTAAACGGCCAATTTACCGATTTACAACTTGCATCGATTTCATTAATTCAAGCCTACCACGAACATTTATGACAATATATAATGATCATATATGGTTCCAAACGACATTATATGACCCCGAGATGTTTCCCATAAAAATTCAAGCCTTGAAACTTTCAAAATTTCTCAAAACACGTGGATAATAGCTTTCAATTTTTTAAATTTTTTGACTTTTTCTTTCGGAAATAAAAATTGCAGAAATGTTTATTATGGTCCCTAATATCCCCCGGGAGTCCAATTGGGTAGGTGGAATCAACCAATATGCCTTTAAACGACCAATTTACCGGTTCACAACTCACAACGATTTCATAAACTCAAGCCCTACCAAAAACATTTATGACAACATATAATGATCATATATTATTCTAAACGACATTATATGATCATATATGACCCTAAGATATATTCCCTTAAAATTTCAAGACTTTTCGACACCAGGCCCCGAAACCTCCAAAATTTTTCAAAAAGTGTGGATATGCCTTCAATTTTGGAATTTATTGCCTTTTTTTCGCCCGAAAAAAAAAATTTCCGAAATGTTTACCATGGTCCCTAATACCCTCTGAGAGTCCAATTTGGTGGGTGGAACCATCTAATTTTCCTTTAAA